GGTGTCCGCAGGTCTCTCCACCTGCTGGGGAGCCCACCAGCAGTCCCAAATGCAGGGGAGGGTAAACAGCAAATCCACCTACCCTTGCCGTGGTCTCCGGGCTGCTCCGGTGGTCTCAGCCTCCAGTTCTCCTCCGCAGCCCTCCTCCGTGGAGTCTCCGGGGTCTCAGGTACCCCTCCTTCCGGCCCTTGTCCGCTGTATGCTCGTCTTCTTGCTTCTTTCCTCTAATTTCTGCTAGAATCTGTCTTTTCTGCAGAGACACTCTGTTGGTGGTGTTATTCGTCTGCCATCTGTCCTCTTTTTTTTTTTTTTTTTTTTGAGAGAGAGTCTTGCTTTGTTTCCCAGGCTAGAGTGAGTGCTGTGGCATCAGCCTAGCTCACAGCAACCTCAAACTCCTGGGCTCAAGAAATCCTGCTGCCTCAGCCTCCTGAGTAGCTGGGACTACAGGCATGCACCACCATGTCCAGCTAATTTTATATATATATATATTAGTTGGCCAATTAATTTCTTTCTATTTATAGTAGAGACAGGGTCTTGCTCTTGCTCAGGCTGGTTTTGAACTCCTGACCTCGAGCAATCCGCCCACCTTAGCCTCCCAGAGTGCTAGGATTACAGGCGTGAGCCACCACCCCTGGCTTTAAGTATGTTTCTTAAAAATTGAACTTTTTATTAATTGTAGATTCACATGCAGTTGGAAGAAATAACAAGTAGATCCTGTGTAAGCCTTGACCACTTTCCCCAAATAATATTTTATATTAATAGAACTATAGCATATCACAACCAGGATAATGACATTGATAAAATTCATCAATCTTATTCAGAGTTGCCAAGTTTTATTTAGGTTATTAAGTATGAAATGTCTGATTTCCTTAAGTATTAAGGTTGACAGTTGGTATCTCTGACATTTCCCTTTGAGACTTGTTTTATTTTTATTGTGAAGGTACATCCTCATTCTTGCAAAAGCACAGCTTGGCTTGTGATTATCTTTCAAAGTTTTTTTTAGAACAATTTTGGTGAAACCATAGATAATTCAAAAATTAGTGTTATTTTCAAATATGAGTTCCATCATGGAATCAATGTTGAGAAGACAGCTCAAAATATAAACAAAGTGTTTGGGAAGGATGTGGCTAATGAATGCACAGTACACTGATAGCTTGAGAAGTTCCATTCTGGTCATTTTAATCTTGAAAATGAGCCACATGGGTGACCTTAGACCAAGGTAGATAATGATGAACTGAAAGCTGTAGTGGAAGCAAATCCATCTCAATCTACATGAGAATTAGCAAGGTTTGACATTACTATTCCAACAATGTTGGACCATTTGAAACAAATTGGCAAGGTTAGGAGGCTGGATAGATAGGTTCCACATGAATTAAACAAGCATCTGAAGAGAAATTGTCTTGAAGCTTGCCTCTCTTTGCTGTCACAACAGAAAGGTGAACCATCTCTACATTGTATTGCTACATGTGATGAAAAATGGATTCCTTTTGACAAATGCAAACATTCAGCACAATTAAAGATGAAGTGCCGAAACACAGTCCAAACTGAATGTTCCTCAAAAAAAGAGCTAATGGTATCTGTTTGGTGGTCTAGTGCTGGCATTATCCACTACAGCTTCATGAAACCTGGTCAATCAATTACAGAGTATGTCTACTGCCCTCAATTGGATGAAATGATGAGGGTGCTTGTGATTAAGCAGCTGCGACTCGTCAATAGAGACAAACCAATCCTCTTGCAAGACAGCACTCGACCACATCACACAAACGATGCTGCTCAAACTACAGAAGCTGGACTTGGAAAGTCTCTGTTATCCACCGTATTCACCAGGCCCTGAAGCAACTATCTACCACTTCTCTCAGGCTTTAGACCACTTCTTGCAAGGAAAAATATTCAATGCTCAACAAGCTGTGGAAAATGCCTTTCATGATTTCATCACCACTCACTCTCCAGGCTTCTTTGCTGCTGGCATAAACAAGCTACCACTAAGATGGCAAAAATGTGTTGATAGTTTAGGCACATACTTTGATTAGTTGTACTGCTTCTTGCTTGAGATATATTAAACTAAATTTTGATCTGAAATCAGACATTTCATATTTAATGACCTAATACTTGTACTGTGTGTGTATTAAGTTCTGTACAATTTTATCACACGTGTAGGTTTGTGTATCCATAACCACAGACAAGATACTAAATAGTTCCATCAGACCTTTCTTCCCCCAGTACTTATCCCTTGACAACCAAGAATATGTTTTGCATTTCTAAAACTTTGTCATTTAGACAATGTCACATAAATGGAATCACACAGTATTAATCTTTTGGGTTTTTTACTTAACAATTCTCTAGTGATTATTCTAAACAGTTATATGCACTGATTGTTCACTTCTTTTTATTGCTGAGTAGTTTCCCATGGTATATGCATACACAGTTTGTTTAACTATCCACGTGTTGAAAGACAAGTGCACTGTTTCTAGTTTAGGGGTATTAGAAACAAGAACAAGAAATGGGTCTGCTGTAGGAGTATAGGCATCCAACATGCCTCAGGCAAGAGGCTTGTTTTAAACTGAAGGAGGTACAACAACTGCCACCTTACTCATCTATGGATCTTCTGTTCTTACTATAGTCCCAGCAGTTCTGAGAGAAGAAAATGAAATGGCCTATTAAATTTTAGTTAAGGCATCAGCTTGGGGACAACATCCTGTTAATATGGGGCATTGTTCTACATGATGCAGTCTATGTAGTTAACAAATAACTGATATATGGCTCCGTGTCCCCAGTAGGCTAGAACATTAAGGGTATGGGAGCCCAAGCTTAGAAGTAAAATTGGCCCTTCTTACCATCATTCTCTTCAAGTAGAGACTTATAATTAGAATTTACATTTCCTATATCCACAACCTTTAGGTCTTACTGGATTAAAGGCTTTGTTTCCTGGGGTGAGGAGAACACTTCCAACAGGGGAAATAATAAGTTTCCACTAAGACTTGTATGATTACCACCTAGTAACACTGGGCTGCTTATGCTAGTGAACCGGTAAAAAAGGAGTTAATATATGAGAGGAAGAAATTAACCATGATTAACATGAAGGGCTAGGGCCTCTATCATACAATGAAAGTAAGTGTCAGGTGTCTTCGAAATAGCAGATTCATCGGGGCATCTCTTGGTGCTTACTTTTCCACAGGTAATAGTGAATAAGCATTGTAATAACCACAGCCTAACAATTTAAGGACTCAAGAAAGGTGTGGTTTACATAATTAGGCAAGCAAGCTAGACCCTTTAAAGTAATAGTTAAGACCAACTAAAATCTAGAATGTGAATGTCTAAGTATTTCCATATATTAAAATCCCTCTGCTGAAATACCTATAGTAGTAATTATGTTCCCATACGGATTTTTTTTTTTTTTTGAGACAGAGTCTCGCTTGTTGCCCAGGCTAGAGTGAGTGCCGTGGCGTCAGCCTAGCTCACAGCAACCTCAAACTCCTGGGCTCAAGCAATCCTGCTGCCTCAGCCTCCTGAGTAGCTGGGACTACAGGCATGCGCCACCATGCCCGGCTAATTTTATATATATATTAGTTGGCCAATTAATTTATTTCTATTTATAGTAGAGACGGGGTCTCGCTCTTGCTCAGGCTGGTTTCGAACTCCTGACCTTGAGCAATCCGCCCGCCTCAGCCTCCCAGAGTGCTAGGATTACAGGCGTGAGCCACCGTGCCCGGCTCCCATACGGATTTTGACTAACAGAAATATGCACAGATTATGATGAAAGGACAGAAAGAAAGCAATGATGGTGTGGGAGTTGAATGGGAGTTCACAAGGTACAGTCCTACATTAAAGAAAATAGTGTGACTAAAGGCCCCGAAACAAAAGATAATATGGTGCATGCAGGGAACTTCTAGAAGTTAAGTATTACTGAAGCATAAAGTATGTCAAGAGTCACAAAAATGGGACTGGAGAGGTATCCAGGAACCAGGGCAATGAGAGCTATATGCAAAGCACTCCGGACATGCGCCTGAGACAATGGGAAACCACCAAAGCCTTTTAATCAGGACATTGACATGATCGTATCTTAGTTTAGATGCATAATTGTGACACTCATGTGGAAAAACAAAAGATTCTCTCAAGAAAGTCTGCTAAGACAGGGAAAAAAGTGGTAGACATTAGGTATATGTTAAACACAAAGTCATCAACAGAGATCATAAAGTTTGTTCATAAAACAATCAAAACAGATCAAGCACCTATGAAAATAATCTGGGGAATTTGGGGGTCAGGAATTTAATTCAAATATTTTGCGAATAAACACAGTCTACAAGTAGTGAAAATGAAGCTTAAAATGGTGCTAAAGACATTTGGCATACCACTGTATATTTTTAAACACACATATATACTTAAATCCATACAGCATATGGATAATTTTGAATTAGTAAATGGAAGGAAGTTGGCATAGAAGAATGGAATCATGAAGAACAGGAAAGACTGAGAGATGGTTTTCCATAAGCTTGCCTTCTACTGACAAGCATGTGTATCATAAACACAGGATTTGGTTCTAGATATTGTAGATTGGCCATTTATTTCTATCACCATCAGGACAGGATGTCTATAAAATCTGCTAAAGAGACACCAGGTTCAAAGTACTGTCCTCTTCTTTCCTTCTCATGGGCTATAATCAGATTATTTCTTGGCCTAATGTCCTAACTCTGAATCAATGTGGCTGGGCCTTAACAGTTTTCTCTAGAATTTATGAAAGGAATTAAATTCTGTTTTTCATGGTGGAAGATACAGCTCTTCCCTATCAGCATAAGATGATGGTTAAGAGCACAGGCATTAAAAGTTACTCAGATCTGGATTCGTATTCTTGCTGTATTGTACACTACTAGTATGATCTTGGGAAAGTTCATCTCTTCATTTATAAAACAGGGTTAATAATGTCCAATTCATTAAAATTCTAGAAACTGGAAGTGCAATTATGAGAAAACTATTTGTTTAAAATGTTTTTAATGTTTTCTTACCTGAAGAGGCAGAGGGTCACTGCTGTTTCTGAAGTCACAATCAAAAACAATGGCAGCCAGCACTTTTTGAGACTCAGGATCATAGTGAATGTAATTCTCAAACTCGGTTTCTGAAGAAAAGCCTCGAACTACAGAAAGACAAAATTATCTATACTTAAATAAAAACATCTGATAATCTCTCTTATTGGAAAGATAGGATATTACTTTACATGGGCAAAAGTGTATCCAAATATTGTAAATTTCAAAACTTTGTTTTCTCAAATATCAGCCTCAAATGGATATTTGGAGTACTAAACAATGTTAGGTGCTTCATAAAATTTTACTATAATCTAAAATAAGAATTATCATAAAATATATATAAAGGTAAGTCATTAGTCATTAGGGAAATGCAAATTGAAATTACAATGAAATACCACTCTATACCCAGTGACATGGAAATTATCAGAAAGACAGATGATAACAACAGTTGGTGAGGATGCAGAGAAATTGGAACTTTCAAACAATGCTTAGGGGGTATAAAAGGTACAGGCACTTAGGATAACAGTCTCACAGTCCATCAAAAAGTTAAACATAGAGTTACCACATGACCTATTTACTCCACTCGTAGGTATATACCCAAGAGAAATGAAAACATACATCCACATAAAACTTATAAACAAATGTTCAGAGTAGTAATGTTAATAATAGCCAAAAGGTGGAAAAACTTAAAACATCCAACAAGTGATGATGGATATACCAACTGAATATAGTAGATCCACAGAATGGGATATTATTTGGCAAGGAAAAGGAATAAAGTATTGATACATGCTACAACATGGATGAACCTTGAAAATATTATGTTAAGTGAAAAATGCCAGTCACAAAAACTACACATTGTATGATTCCATTTATATAAAAGGTCTATGATAGGTAAACCTATAGAAACAGAAAGTAGATTGGTACTTTTACTGATGATGGTGGACATGGGAGATTGGGAGTCATGTGTAAAGGGTATGGAGTTTCTTTGGGGGATGATGAAATCAATTGTAGTAGTGCTTGCACAACTACAACTATACTAAAAGCCATTAAACTGTACACCGTGAACGGCTGAATACCTGCTATGTACCTTATATGTTTCAAAATAAGATAAAGGTAAATCAAGAGTGGACAGCACTTCAAACTGTACTTTAAAAGGAAAGCAAAACTCATTTGATGGCTCACTAGCAATATGCAGATAATAGAGGAAGGTAAGTGAACTGGAAGACAGATTAATAGAAATCACCCGATCTGATCAAGAGAGAGAAAAGAGATTAGAAAAAAGTTGAACAGAGCCTCAAGAACCTGTGGAACAATACAAATTTCTAGCATTTGCGTCATCATAGTTCTAGGAGAGGAGAAAAGGCAACACTGAAAAACAATTTTGAGAAATAAGTAAAGATTTCCAAATTTGGTGAAAGACAGAAACTTACAGATTCAAAGGCTCTTTGAAACCAAAACAGAATTGACCAAAAGAAATACACACTTAGACACATCATACTCAAACTTCTAAAAACTAAAGGCAGAAAAAAATCTTAAAAGGAGCCAGAGAGAAATGACATATTACCTATAGCGAAACAAAGATTCACATGATTGCATTTTTCTTTCCAGAAACCAAAGTGGTCAGAAGGCAATGTTAAAAGAAAACACTGCCAGTCCAGAATTCTCTACCCAGTGAAAATATCTTTCAGGAATAAAGCTGAAACAAACACATTCTCAGATGAAGGCAAATGAAGAGACTTCATTTTGCTAGTAGACTTGCTCTGAAAAATAATTAAAGGAAGTTTTTCAAGAAAGAAGGAAAATGATATTAGAAGAAAATGTGGAACTTAAATGAAGGAAGAGGAACAGCTTTGGTAATTAACTGGATGAATACTTTTCTTAAATTGTGTAAAATATGTATGCAAATTAAAATACTTTCTGGTGAAGTTTTCAATTATGTAGATCAGGTGTCCTCAAACTATGGCCTGCGGGCCACATGCTGCCTGCTGAGGACATTTATCCGGCTCACCAGGTGTTTTTGCCTCCGCTGCCTGTCCTGCTTAGCAGTTGACTCGTCCTGGGCCCACAGTGTGCACCCTCTAACGGTCTGAGGGACAGTGAACTGGCCCCCTGTTTAAAAAATTTGAGGACCCCTGATGTAGATACAAAAACTATAATATAATGAGGGAAATGTAAAAGGGACCTATATACAGGTAAGGGTTAGACATTATAATAAAGTGGTAAAATATTAGGTCTGAATAGATAGTGAAAATTTGGGTATGAATATTTTAACCCAAGAGCTGCCACTAATAGTATTATGTAACACAAGTCCAACTGATCTGTTTTTTTCCTTTTATGGATCACAATTTTTGTGTCTTGTCTAAAGATTCTTCAACTAAAGTAAGTTATAAGGATTTTCTCCTATGTTCTTTCCTAAATATTTTATCATTTTATGTTTCAATCTATGATCCATTTTGAGTTAATTTTTTGCATAAGGTATGAGCTTTAATTGTTTTAGCTATATTGGTGTCCAACTGTTCCAGTACCATTTGTTGGAAAGGTTATTCTTTTATTAAATTCCTTTGCACTGTTGTAAAAGATTATTTTGGCATATTAGTGTAGCTCTATTTCTGGGTTCTCTAATTCTTTTTAATTGATCTGTATGTCCAGCCCTCTACCAATACAAGACTGTCTTAATTACCACAGTTATAGCATAAAAGTCTTAAAATTGTGGAGTGTGAGTCCACCAACATTATTCTTTTTCAACATTGTTTTAGCTCCTCTACAAATATTGTTTTACAGAAAATCTTAATGTCTAACTAACCTTTTATACTGATGTTTAGATTCCTTTTCACATTCTCGGTGATTTCTTTTACCACATCAATATTAGAAGGTATGTAAATCAATTCCCATTCACTGGGATATTTGAGGAAAGAAGGCAGAGTACTGATGGGTTGAGAAGTGAAATTGAGAGGTCCAATAAAATCTATAGGAGTAAGTGAACGGAATAGCAAAAACACTAGTGCAATCACCAATATTGCGATGACTTTCAATATTAAACTAATGAAGTTCCTCCTCTAGAACAGGGAACAAAAAGAAGGTGTTAATTAACTTAAGAGTACACATTCAGTGCAAATGGGTAGTTCTATTATATTAAGCTTCTGCCAGTTTCACTGTGGAAGAGCCAGTGCTGCTTAGACTATCTCATACCACACCTTCTCTGCCTCCCACTTGCCTATAGTTCATATTATACCATAGATTCCCTCAGTTTTAAAGATTTGGAGGAGCTACCCACAGTCTGGAATTGATTTTTCAGACATGTACATACACACGTGCTCCTGTGCACACACATACACAGTGTGTATGTGTATGTGCGAGAAATGGGCACTTAAGGATATTCTCCATGCATACCTTCACCTACCTTTAAGGTAAAATTTTTCCAGAGGAGTACTGCAAATTGGTTGAATGTTAACACATCCATTCTTCTACAAAGAGTGCATGGTCTACTCTAGGGATACAAGAAAGGTTTGTTTCAATGTTACCTAATTATGTTCACATCAAGCAAATAACAGGATTACTTCTTTCCCCTACTTTTCTCCTTTATCAACCTCAAAAATTGATAGTAAGAAAGATTATGTATTTACAATAAATAAAATCATATCATTAGCCAAAAAGAATCATATTGTTACTATTTTTCTATTAGTTTACTTAATATATTAATATAATGAAATTCTAGTACGTATAAAACACCAAGAAATAGAGAAAAAAATCTGTAAGATATGGTTTCATTTTTCCAAGATGGCATAAAGGAAATGAATAGGATCTCGTTTTTCCTCTTCTAGTCTTCATTACAGTAATTCTTAAGGTATTAAAAATAACAATCACCACCACAAAAACAAATTATGAAAAATCAAATCACTAGAAAATATCAATATTTCACCCCATTCACAGTGCTGATGAACATATTTATCTATTGTTACAATATTACTGCGCATTTACTGTGTGTCATTTTCTATGCTAACTATTGAGTATAAGATGGTAAGCACAATAGAAGAATAGACCTCATCCAAGCCCTGATGATGATAAATGTAAGGAGTATCAATTAAGAATCTACTTTCTGTGGACAGATCTTCTGGAATGGCTATATTAGAAGATCAATGGACCTTCTCTAAAGCAAAACAGCTATTTAACTGTTGAAACTTTAAAAACACACCCATTAAAACTTCTGATAATTGATTTAGGGTCATACAGATAGTGGAGAAACATTTATTCAAGAAAATCTACTAAATGATGGCAAGAACAGCAAGGGTCAGTGATATTTGAGCCATAGTCTACTCCTTTCATGCCCCCCCCAGCTCCATATTATGGAGCTCTACTCTAGGAAAATGTGATTAAGAAGTTGGGGCTTTCTCTCTCCAAGGCTACCAATGTAGGGCTACGGTTTCACTCTATGAGGGGAAGGGTGTTGACATTTCTCATTTCCTATAGGTTCATAATGAAGAAACTCTATTCTAGGCCAATGGAAATGAGAGGTCTAGGGATTCCTTGTCTTATTTAGCCCCCATTAACAGGGAAAAAGCTCCACCCCAGGTAATACAGGCTGACAATAGTGGGGTCCTGATCACCCATGCACACAATAGCTGGTAGGGTAGAGGACATATGCCAGTGAGACAAAAAAGCCAGGGGCTGTCAGGTCCTCATGCCTGCTTATATAGTGGGGATGGTTACTCTGGAAGAAGCATGTTGCTATCCCCACTCCCAGCTCTGGCGCAGTGTCATTGAGGTTCTGTCCAGGGATAGAGGCAGGATATAAGGATAAAGACCTCCACAGCTCTGCCTGATGGGACAGGTTTTATTTGGAATAGGAACATAGAGAAATTCACATCTAGGAGTGTTGTCAAAAAACAACAGAGATCTTGGCGGGGAGCACTTGAGAGGGGGCTGATATCTTCATGATACTAGTATCAATAGTGAACAGCAAAAGGAACAGCAAAAAGATTAACACAGAGAACCTCCTGGGATCACACACATTCTTGGGAGTCCAGAAAGCTACACAAACTCAGGAGCAATCAGAACAAGACATGGGGCAAACTTGAAATCATTACCTAACCCACAGATAGACTCATCAAAGGCAAAATTCAGAAGTGTTCATGGCTCAAGGAGCTTAAGCACAGCTACTGACTAAATACTGGCTGAACAATGAGCTACACTGATCCATGGGGGGCATACCAAAGAAGCCACACTTAAAAAAATCATACACATCCACATCCTCAGTGGTCTGAAAAACTGAATGAATGGTTCAAGACTGTGCCCTTTCAGGAGGAATCAGAAAGGGATTCTCTAAGCTACTAGTCCCTGCGTGAATGTAGGACAACAAAAAGTAAACATTCTGAACCGTGAGAGCAGCCTCCAAGCCATAGACACATCAGTCATAAAGGGTAAAACTCTAATTGACTAACTTAGCTTAAGCATAACATTTGACCAATAAGTAGCTTATACTGATCCAGCGATAACCATTCAGAATTTACACTAAACACAAATGTTACGGCTTGAATTCAACAAAATTCATATGTTGAAGCCCTAATGCTAGTACCTCAGGCTATAACTGTATTTGGAGTGAAAGCCTTTAAAGAGGTAAGTTAAAATGAAGATGTCAGAAAGGGCCCTAATCCAATCCGATTGGTATCCTTTTAAGAATGGAAAATAGGGGCATGTTTGCACAGAGGAAACAGCAAGAGGACACAGCAATAAAGTGTTCATATAGTAGCCAAGCAGAGAGACCTTAGGAGAAACCAACCTTGCTGACAACTTGATCTTGGACTTACAGCAGCCAGAACTGTGAGAAAAACTGACTTCTGTTTTTTTTGTTTTGTTTTGTTTTTTTATTTTAGTGTATTATGGGGGTACATGTGTTAAAGTTACATATATTGCCCATGCCCCCCTCCCCCCTCGAGTAAGAGCTTCAAGCATGTCTATCCCCAAATGTTGCACATCTTACTCCTTGTGGTTGTATACACCCATCCTCTCCTCCCCCCTCCCACCCTCCCAACACCCGATAGATGTTACTCCTATATGTCCACTTAGGTGTTGATCCGTTAGTACAAATTTGCTGGTGAGTACATGTGGTGCTGGTTTTTCCATTCTTGAGATACTTCACTTAGTAGAATGGGTTCCAGCTGTATCCAGGAATACACAAGAGGTGCTATATCACCATTGTTTCTTAAAGCTGAGTAGTATTCCATGGTATACATATACCACATTTTATTAATCCATTCATGAATTGATGGGCACTTGGGTTGTTTCCACAGCTTTGCGATTGTGAATTGTGCTGCTATAAACATTCGAGTGCAGGTGTCTTTTTCATAAAGTGACTTTTGATCTTTTGTGTAGATGCCCAGTAGTGTATCTACTGGGCAACTACATTTTTTTTTTTTTTTGGCTTACAACAGCAAGCATTTATTTCTCACTCATGTTACATGTGAGCTTGAGGTCTGCTTCGGGTTGACTCTGACTCTGCTTGGCTCCTCTCCAAGTGTTTTCTCATTCTGGGAGCCAGGACCATAGAGTAGCTCCTTTAAGCTGAACCACCCAGTAGCATCCTCTACCCGGATGGGTACTGGATCAAATGGTAGATCTACTTGTATCGCTTTGAGGTATCTCCATATTGCTTTCCACAGAGGTTGAACTAGTTTGGAGTCCCACCAGCAGTGTAGGAGTGTTCTCTCTCTCCACATCCATGCCAGCACTTGTTGTTTGGGGACTTTTTGATATGACTTCTGTTGTTGAATCCAGTCAGTCTATACTATTTTGTTATGGTGGACCTACCAAATTAACACATGCAGATATTGGACTTGAAAATACTTAAATCAACTGCCTTAAACATGTTTGAAGAGCTAAAGGAAACAGAACTATGATGTCTCAACAAATAAAGAGTATTGATAAGATATAAATTATAAAGAGAAACCAAATAGAAATCCTGGAGCTGAAAATCATAAAAATAAAATGTAAATTTCAATAGAGGGGCTCAACAGAAGATTTCAACAGACAGCATAAAGAATCAATCAATCAACCAACTTGAAAGTAGGTCAAATAAAATTATGTGTGTATGTAGAGAGATAGGAACACTCATACACTGTTGGCGAGACTGTAAACTAGTACAACCTTTATGGAAGTTGTATGGTGATACCTAAAAGAGCTAAAAGTAGAACTACCATTTGGTCCAGGAATCTCACAACTGGGTATTTACCCAAAGGAAAAAAAAAGACATTCTATAAAAAAGACATCTGCACTCAAATGTTTATAGCAGCACAATTCACATTGCAAAGATGTGGCAACAACATCACTACATGAGTGGGTTAATAAAATGTGGGAGATATATATACACATATCCATACACACACACCACACACACACAACACACACAACACACCATGGAGTACTACTCAGCCATAAAAAATGGGAACTAATATTTCTTGTATTATCCTGTATGGAACTGAGACCATTCTTCTAAGTGAGTATCACAAGAACAAAAAAGCAAACCCACATGTGCTCACCACTTAAATTGGTACTAATCAACTCAACACTTGTGTGCACATTTGGAAGTAATATTCATTGGGGATCGGGCAGGTGAGGGGGGAGGAGAAGATGGGTACATTCACACCTAATGGGTGCAGTACACGCTGTCTGGAGCATGGACATGGTTGTAGCTTTGATTCAGGTGGTGCAAAGGCAATTTACGTAACAAGCTTTGTACCCCTTGTAATATTCTGAAATAAAAAAATAAAATAACAAAAAAAGATTATCCAGTGTGAGGAGCAGGAAAATACCAGAGCCTAAGAGAAAGAGAAAAAATATTTGAAGAAATAATGGCCAGGGGAGTAACATCAGCAAGATGGTAGAACAGAAGATCCCTAGCTCTGGTCCCCCCAACAGAAACACTGATTAAACAACTACCCATGGTTGAGAATGCTTTTATGAGAGTTCTGGGACTCACAGGAGAGCTTACAACATCCCATTAGGGCACAAAACACAGAAAAGCCACATTAAAAAGGGTAAGGAAAAATGTTTCTCATTGTCCCCATCATCTCACCCCCAGATGGCACAGTGCAGTGCCAAGAAAGAGATCCTTGGGCTGTGATTTCACCAGTGGTGGAAAAAGAGACTGAATTTGATGTCCAACTCACCCAGCATTTTGGGGCACTGACTACTTACTTTTGTCTTGCCTCACACAAAACCCTGGGGGAATTAGCACAGCTATACTACCTGGGGACAATGAGGAATCAAAAAAAGGGTGTGGGGCCTCTCAGTAGCTGGATTCTCAGCCCCCACCAGTGGTCTCACCTGACCATGGAGCCAAGTCACCTATCCCACACCTGAATGCAGAGACCACACAGTGACTTCACCTGACCATGGAGCTCTGCTAGTCATCTCACCTGACTGCAGCACCAGCCAGCAGCCTTGACTATGGAGCCAAGCCAGCTGGCCACACCCAACTGTGGGGTCAAGCCAGCAAGCTCCATCTCCATCCAACCCAGTCATTTAGCCATTTGGCCCTGAATGAAGGCAGAGACTCCCCCAAGAGTGGCCTTGTCCAACCTCAGAGACCCAACAATAGCCTTGCCTGACTGTGGCCCTGCCAGCTGGCTCTGATCAACTCTAGACACAAGCCAGTTGGCCCCACCTGACCATGGAGCAACCCCAGTGGCCTCATCCAAATATAAAGCCTGACAGTGGTCTCGACTGAATGTGGGGATTGCCAGAGCTCTTGCTTGACTGCAAAGCCCTGCCAGCAGACTTGTCCAATTGTGGAGCAAAGCCAGCCAGCACTGCCTGACTACGGAGCCCCTCAGCAGCCTTGCCTGATGGTAGCTTTACCAGTGGCCTTGCGTGACCACAGAGCCAAACCAACTATTCCTGTCTGATGACCACAGCTCCAGTGACCTTGTTGACTGCAGCCTCTGTCAGCAAGTCCTGTACAACCATGAAACCAAGCCAAACAGCCCTTCCTGATTGCAGATCTCCCCACATCAGCCCCACTTGACCATTGCCTCCACCAGCCAGCACTACCCAACTGTGGATATAGCCAGCAACCTTTGTCCAACCCAAGAGACAAGCCAGCTGACCCTGACCAACTTCCAAACCCCACCAGCAGCCTTGCTGGACCATAGCACACAACAGCTGGCCCCATCAGACTTCAGTGCAATGGTAGTGGCCCCCTTCTACATGCACACCCTGCAGACCCCAGCAACAGTGCCCATCCATGGAGAAAACCAGCTGGCCTGCCCAGAATCCCAGGACAGGCGACTGGTGAAGATCTTTCCTTGCTGAAGCCAATATGAGAAGATTCTAAGAGGTAACCATTTCTTCACATGCACAGACACCAATGCAAGGGTACAGGGTCACAAAGAATTAGGAAATCATACCACTGAACGGAATTAAGAAGGTTCCAGGAACCAGATTCGCTCCAGAAATTAAGCAGTTTCTGAAAATGAAAGCATGCCACATTTCTCACACACCTGAATTATGAAGATGAGATGCATTCTCTCTAGAATTTCACTCCAGCCCCTTTACTGAAAAGTATAATATCAAATTATGGAATTAATCATAACTTTTATTTTCCTACTAAAATGAAGGTTTTTTCCTTTTCCTTGTTGGCTCCCTTTTCAAAAAACGACCTAAACTAAGCCATGCTAATTAAATTCCTTAAAGTTGGGAGGCTTTCGGCTCTTCACAGTCCCAACCCACTCATCCCCCAATACACTCTGTTTTTGGAGGGCCTGCCACTAAGTGAGCATTTTGTCATGTTATGTTTTATCTCTTTTATTGTCTCTTTTACAATCCTTTTGAGATAGTTATAATTAAGTATCCCCACATTACAGATGAGACTCAGAGAGGTTAACTCCTATAGCCAGTAAATGGAAGGACTAAAATTTATTTTTTTAATTGATACACACTACTTGTACATATTCATGACGTACGCCTGATCTGATAAATGCATACAATGTATAATGATCAAATCAGGGTAGGTAGGATATCCATCACCTCAAACATTTATCTTTTTGTGTCTGTGTTGAGCACATTTCATATATTCTCTTCTAGCTATTTTGAAATACACAATGTATTGCTGTAAACTACAGTGACCCTACTGAGCTATGGCACTTACTCCTTCTATCCAACTATATTTGTACCCATTACCCAACATCTCATCCTCCTTCCCCCAATAACCTTTCCAGCCTCTGCCCTCTACCTCCACGAGTCCAACTTCTTTAGCGCCAAGATACGAGTTGAAAACATGCGGTATGTGTCTGTAGCTCTTGTTTCACAGCACCAAGGTTGACTGCGCTTCATAACCCTCCGCTTTTAATCATTAGGCTTCAACAAAAATTAAAATGTATAATAATATGTATTATCCATATTGAGGGGGACTTTTGTCAGTTTTGTTTTTTGAGGGGAGAGCAGCGGGGCTGTGGAGGTTTCCGCACCGCCTCTGCCCAGCGCGGAGCGTTTGTTGGGGGCGGGGCGCACTTTCCGGCCCTGCGCGCCGACCGGCAAAGGCCAGGCATCAGGGAACAGTGGCCAGAGCAGGGGGTACCCGGGCAGGAGGAGAAAGGGCCATGAGAGCCGGGAAACTCACCTCTCAGGCCTCGCAACCGCCACTGCCACCACCTCCGTCGCTCGCGGGCACGCACCCAGCCCAGCGGGGCACCTCCTCCCAACGGCCCCTCAACCGCCCTCGCGCGCGCCTGCGCCCTGGAGCACTAGTCCCCACCCGACTAATTCCACTCACTTTCCAGCATTTCCGGCGTTCCCACCTGTTCCGTGCTCAGCCAGCACGCGGCACCTCATGCCTCCTTCCCACCAGTGCACAGCATGGGACCTTCCGCCTGTGATGCCGTCGGAGAGCGGTGCCCCAACCCCCATCCACCACATCCCGCACCCTGCCCTAGCCTCGAGTCCCTGTAGGAGCCCCATCTGGCTCCCCAGGTTCTTCACCTCTTGGTCCTCATCTCTCACGGGCTCCCCTCAGCGGGCTCAGCTGTTGGCAAAGGAGGATGAATAACTGTCTCCTCCTCACGGTTTATTTGGGGGTCAAGGACGGAACTTCCAGAGGCACATGCACAGGGGTCCCCTAACCTACTGGCTTGTTCAGAACAGGAGCCCACTGGAAGCTCCCTGTGGCCCGTGAGCACTCTGACAAGGTAGGGAAAGGAGTCAGGCAGCTTTTCCTCCCTTGTTTCCAGTGTGTTCATATCATTACTGGAAAAGAGAAAAACAGCTCTCCGAGAGCCAGGAACTGGCCTGGCACTATCTGCTTAGGCCTTGGTGTTGCCAGGGGCTGGCCTGCATTCACCGCTAGGGCTCTGTGTTTATCCTGTTGAACACAAATAAATAAATAGAACACCAAAGTCACACAAAGCCATTCTGACTGTGATAAAGCGAGACAGACGACGTCCATAATTATGTCTGAGTCTGAGAAAAAACGAGAACACAGCCCCAAACGGCTGTCTTTCTGGCTAAATAGGAGTATGTGCCACTCCTTTATCAACTACAGCCTTAGCCCTGTTTTGTTCTACCTTTGAGATAAAATTAAGATACCCATAGAATTACTCTTGCTTCCTGACAGCATTAGATTCAGTGCAAAGCCCCCACTCTATATTATCTAACACCATATTCTATAGTACTTTCTAATACTTCATTAAATATGAACATGCCCCATAGTTCCCCGTGATGTACAGTCTCACATGTTACAAGGAGTCAATAAACTCAACTTTGACTACAACTGTGTTACTTGTGGGCTTTGCCTGCAAGGCATTGACATTACTATTGACTCAATGCCTGTCATTATTAGTTTACTGATATGCTTATTAATATGAACATTGACACATTATTAATAACTTTTATTATTAAGTGGTCTTAGTAATAAGAACTAACATTTATCAAGCACTTAAAGAAAAAGGTGTGTTCAAATATTATCTCATTTCTGCCTCTTCATTTTTCATTTGAAGAAACTGAGGATCACAGAGGTCGAATTGTTAGGGACCGACCTTCCACAGCCCCACCGGACAGAAAAGCAGAGACATCGAGGATGTAATTACACAAGAGGAGGTTTATTTTCTGGCTAGCCAGGGTCCAAGCCCTAGAGCACCAACGCAGTGGCCACTCTTGCAGGCAAGGACCCTGATTGGGGTTGCAGCGTGCCTTTTATTTCTATGGTGCATACGCTACGCAGTGGCTGATCACGCATGGATCATGCATTGACCTTTAACATGATTGGTTGGCTGGTAGCCCCACTATACAGGGGTTCAAACAATGCAAAGTTGGCGCAAACAAGCAAGCAAGCAACGGTTTCCATGGCAAGCAAGCAACAGTTTTCAGAAGCCGGATGTTGGTTCCGGCTTCACTGGGGGTGTGGGCCTTGCAGGTATGCAATGTCTCAACTCCTCACAGAATCAATTGTCCAAGATCCCATAACTAGTAAAAATGGCAAAGCTCCATTCAAGTCCAAGCCGGCTCACTCCAAGGTGCCTATTGTGTTCAGTCAGGAAAAGAGAAACTGCATTAGTTATTTCAAACAGAAGGAATTAACACAGGGGATTATTCATGCAACAGAGGGGTGAGGGATAAAAGAGTTGAGGTGATCATAGGTACTAACACAGGAAGCAGCTCTCAGAGAGCTCCAGAACCCAGGAGCCAGGAGCAGGGGCCCTGATGCTGAAACCTCTGAGGAGGGTTTGCCCTGTTGAAAACAGGAAAGATGTTTCTTCTCTGCTCTTCCCACTTTCCAATCTCCTGCCAGTGCTTCCCATAAGAAGAGCCTAATAAGAAGTGAGCTGGCACAGGTGTCTAGAAAATGAAAATTTCAGTGTCCCCACACCAGCATCATGGAGCAGAATATAGAAAAGACCTTAAAGACACAGCTCAAAACCCTTAAATCTATGCCATAAGTGATACAGTGAGAAATTAATCTAAAAAAGCACTAAAGCTCAACTATTTTTCCCAGAACAGAATGGGATTACCAAGAATGCAAAAACACTTTAATATAAGAATACCTATTCTTACATCACAAAAGAGAAAAAAAAAAACCCCATGCAATTACATGCATAGATACCCCTAAATCCATTAGGAATATCCATCTTTCTGCTTACATTACCCATCTATGTTGGTAATGTTCTTCTATGTTGTTCACTTTTCCATTAGAGCCTTTAGTATATTAATCATAGTTATTTTAAATTCCTGATATTGTAATTCCAAAAATCTTCTGATCATTTTTATAATGTTTGCTGTATCTCTTTGAACTTTTTGCCTTAGTGTGTCCTGTGATTTTTTTGTTGAAAGATGGAATGAGGTACCAGGTAAAAGGAACTGAGCTTAATAGATCTTTAGTGTGAGGTTTTATGTACATCTGGATAGGAATTGGGCTGTGTTTATTGTTCACTGTAGCTGTAGGTGTCAGAGGCTAAAATTTCCTCTGGTGTCCATGGTTTTTCCCTGTTGGAAATAAGCGTGGATTTTTCTCTGATATTTGTCCTGAAAACCTGGAGATAAAACTCATGAAGTTAACTCTGAGTTAACTCCTCTGGAGTATTTAACTGTCATGTTTGTCTACACTGGGCCTTCATAATCTCATCAATTGCAGTTAAAGTTTTCCCACTGCAGTAGTGGTTCCAGCAGTGGGCTTCTCTTCCTGAGCTTCTGCTTCTGGAAACTGTGATTCTCTGTATTCAACTGTCTCTCCAATGTTGGCGGCAACACATTTGTTCTGTGACCTCAATTCTCTACTGGATCTAAAAAAGTTGTGAGTTTTCAGTTTGTTTAGCCCAGGGGTAGGGAACCATTTCATGTTGGAAGGCTGCATTAATTGAACTGTAATGAAATAAGGCCACATTTAAGAAACTTCAATTAGATATACTTAAAAATATACATTATTATATAAAAAATCTAAATGCTGTGTACTTAATAATTTCAAAAAATGAAGACTATTTGTTAATTTTCAAGTTAACTTTTTAATGACTTTGTTGTGTTTGCTTTTTGTTGGAAAGCATTTGAATATTTGGTTGCAACAGAGCTCCACAGTTTCAGCTGATCCTCTAGATGAGTAGCAGTCATTTGTGACCTTAAGGGCATCTTGATTTGGGTTAGATAGGAGAATGTAGATTCACAGCAATAAGTAGTCAAAAAGCAAGAAAGCATTTTTCAGGCGTGTTGCCTAAGGTGAGAGTATTCTGCATTTTTCCATATTTCAGTCAGATCTTTCTTAGCATCAAACAATGACACTAAAATGCAATCTACTGAGAGCTCAATCAATTCCATCTGTAGTTCTTTAGGCGCCTTGGTGATATCAACTAGGTGAGACTGAAATGCTAATTTGAGTATGATGTCATGATTCTCAAAGTCTATGAACCTTTCCTTGTGTTTTCCAATTAATAGGTCTGAAACAGCTGCATATTCTTCAAATGATTCACATATATCATCCTCCTCATCAATGACTTTTGCTAACTGGGGAAAATGTTCATCCCAAATTTCCTTTTGAAGGAGAGATGCTTGGACTTTTTGCCACATACCATATGTAGACTCAGTTTTACCTTGCAAATAAATATTGAAGTCATTTCAATTTGACATGATATCACACAGAAATGCTGTGTTCCTGTAGAAAACTCCTTTGAACAATTCACATTGCTGATTATGTTCTTCATTAAATTTAACTATCTGTCCTCACAGACACAGGCTAACACTTGTCCCTGAGATAGCCAATACACTTTTGAATGATATGGCAAATCCACACTGAATACCTCATGGTTCAACTTTAGCATGTTAGGAAAATGACCATGCCATGTTGCATTTGCATGAATATAGTTAATAATACTTATTGCAAAGTGTCACTTAAAATAGTAGCTTTAACACAGATATTTTGCTGGTGCAAGATACAGTGTAAAGAAATGAGAGCATCTGGATCTGTTAATACATTCTTTTATCTGTGCAATAAACTCTTCATATTTTCCTGTCATGGAAGGTACACCGTCTGTACATACACTCACTAAATTTACCAAATTCAGTCCAACTTCACAACATTTATCTTGAAAGTTGTTGAGGATATCTATTCCCCATGTTCTGTTCACAAGAGTGCCCAAAGCTAGTAACTCTTCATAGTAAAGAAAATCTTCTGTTATGACCCAAATGAAGTATAAAATCTGCACTGAGTCAATAGAATCAGTTAATTCCTCTCCAAAGTGATTGAATAATCTCTATTTTCCCTTTGAAGTACTGTATGAAGTTCTGTTAAGTTAAAGGCTAATTCATGGTTCTCTTTTAAAGAGGCAGTTGTTTGTACTTTGAAACATTATCGGGGTCTAAGCATCCTACAACTTCAACGATGCATTCACAATTTCTACATCACTTTTTTCCCTGAGTATATAAGCTACTATATAAGTTGTTTCAGGGGCATTATTTCCAGGTCTTATTGGTGCTTGAAAGAATTGTCTTTGCTTTTGCTTTTCGTCTTTTAATTTCTGCAATACAAGCTTTCACACATCTCCCTCTAATTTCAAATATCTGTGGTCCTTATGAGTGCTACAGTGCTGATGAGCACTGAGAAGAGAGGGCTGTACATGTCAGCTGTTTACAGGAAAGAGGTAGCACAAATATCTCAAATGCTGAGTGTCCCAGTAACCACTAACCATGGGGATCTTCAATGCTGATTAGATGTGATGTTGACAAGTTAGTAAGACCAAGTGCGGGTGTATATATCAATTCATTTTGAGATGTAAAGGATTGACTTTTAGATAACTAATTTTGGCAGCTTCATCAATGGCATTTATTTACTTGTTCTTAAGGTGTCATGGTTTCCCAGGCACATAAACCCCATCATAATTCCAAGGGCCTACATTACTCCTTATTTGGGACATAAAGGACCATACGGACTCTAGGATGAATAAGATGCTCCCTTTTGAGGTGTAGAGGCTACAGTTCAAATGGAATAAGATTTTTGAGTTTCATCTCTGCAAAAGGAAGATGTGGAACTACACTGATTTGCTTTAAACCTAGTAAAACATTAAATAGTTTCACAATTGGGTATTTGTGGGCAGAGGGGCTTAGGAAAGCTGTGGGCATTTATTTCAAATATCAGGAACAGGGGTCCTCAAACTTTTTAAACAGGGGGCCAGTTCACTTTCCCTCAGATCGTTGGAGGGCCGGACTATAGTTAAAAAAAAAATTATGAACAAATTCCTATGCACACTGCATGTATCTTATTTTGAAGTAAAAAAAACAAACAGGCAAAAACACCTGCATATGGCCCGCAGGCCGTAGTTTGAGGACACCTGATCAGGAACATAGGGAAGCACTTCCACATCAGCAGTGTTAACAATGAAGTGCAGTAGCATAATGACTCACGTCTAGGTGCTGATAAGCTTGTCAGCGTGAGGCTCCAGTTCCAGTGAGTTTAAACATTTCTTCACATACATCTCAATCTGGTGCTCAGAAACTCTCCATAATTAGGCATGCATGATCATTATTTCCCGAGAAGTCATGTATTCCACCAAGGCATCAAATTGAGGACAATAACCATTTGTTGACCTTACCTAATTATAAGAATTGCTTTAAGTAAAGGCCCAAGTCATCTATCCTGTTTGCTTTGGGAAAAACTGCCTAAACCATGCTTTCCCCTAAACTCCACAATCATCAACACAGAAGAGGACTTCTGTGACTAAATGTGAGTTCCCCTCCCCCATAAACACCAAACAGTGGACAGCGGCTGGGTGTCCTCTAAGTTTTGACACTATCTACCTGGAGAGAGTGTCAGATCCCACAGGATGATGGCTCAGTCCCCAAGATGTGCCCCCACCCACAGACACCAGTTTGCAAGTCTGGGCCTCCAGAGCTTCTGATTGACCAGCTTCAAGTTGGGGTTCCCACAACCCCTTCCCACTTTGGATTTGGTTAATTTTCTGGAGTGGTTCACAGAGCTCAGCAAACACTTACCTACATTTACCAGTTTGGTACAAAGGATATTACAAAGGATACAGATGAAGAGATGCATAGGCTAAATATAGGGGAAAGGAATGTGGAGGTGCCATGCCCTCCCTGGTCGCACCATCCTCCATGTTCCTCCAGGTGTTCAGCTATCAAGATACTCTCTGAACCTAGTCCTTTTGGGGTTTTATAGATGCTTTTGTTACACGGGCATGATTGACAACTGTGTACAATTGTGATTGTATCAAAAGTGCACGATCTAAGCCCAGCAAGACCTGTCTGTTCAGATTCTTCCTTGGCTTCTCTATGTAGCATTCCTTCGTCCAGGGCATGTGGCAGGACCCACGCTGGAATGAGGGTCTTTTTACCCACAATTAGATTGGAGTCTTGCCTTGGGCAGGTGAAAGGAGGACAGGAGAAGGTAACAGAGAGAGAGAGCGAGAGAGAGATTGATTCTAGCTTCTGAGGGCTGTTCTTGAGGCCTAAAGCACCCCAACATTATAACAAGGACATGGGACTTATGAGCCAGGAACCATGGATGAAAACCAACATATATATCATAACAACACACCATGGTATTTCCATGGATGAGATGGAAGACCTGTAGTTCTCCAGGCCATGCTTCCAAGAGTCCTAACAATTTTTTTTTCCTAAAGGGCTACAAAATTATGGCTTTGGCATCTTGTTCCATAATAAGGCTGAACCTCCTTAAACTGGAGACTGCAATGAGCATTGCTCTACCAATTAGTCAAACTCTTCTACTGATTTTCATTCAGGTACACAGAGCCAAGGTAGCCAGAAAAAAAGCTATGAATTTAATTGGAGACTGTTCATGTTCCTAGACACTTCACAGAAACAAATTCAAATCCCCTCCTTACCTAAAAATAGAACTGTGAATATATGATAAACATGAATTTATAATTAATGATATTCAACTAAAGATTTGAAACCATTAAACAAGTGACCCCAAAATAGAGCAGCTTCACGGAAACTTTCCATCTTGTAATTTCCACAAAGATCATTCTTATCATCTGCTTATCTCCCAAAGAATCCTGGAGAGGTGATTATATTTCTCTTGTTGCGTATTGGTGAACCCCATCTGCCTAGACAAGATTCAGAAGAAAAATCTGTCTCCCTCCTCTCCATTCCATTTATTCTTATATCCTTCTTTATTAGAGGTGAGGCAAGAGCAGAAAGGAAAAACACTATCTTAAAGAAATTTTTTCTTGCTGGCCATGGACTCTAAATGTTTTCGGTACAAAGATTCTCTTTCAATCAAAGCACAAGAAATTTATTTTGGATTTTGGAAACAGTAAATGAATTCACCCCTCAAACATTGGTATTGATTTAAACTAGACATTTTGGGAATGATATTGGTATGTGTGTCAGTGTGTATTTATGTGTCTATGTGTATTCATGTGTATATGTATATCCACATATGTGCATGTGTATATTTATGTATGTGTGTGTGTATTTGTGTATGTGCACATCTCTGTGTACATGTACATGCATCCACACACTATTTGGTCCAGGCATTATGCTCTTCTTATCCCTGACAGCTGCTAAAACATAAACCTCTTGTTCTTTGGGCTGTCCCATCTGACAGCATCATTATTTCTGGATGTTTCTATTCAAACCTTCAGAATACTCAGGAACAGGCCCTTGTTCCCACCCTGATAAGTGTTTCTCTTTTTATATCTCTAGGACAGAAAACAGGGATTTCATCAAATGTCTTTAGATTTGCACATGTCATCTAAATCTACAAAGAAGGAGACAAACCTTCTCCTTTGGGGAAATCTTTATTGCATAAATATTTTTACACCAAAATATGTACACACAGGAACATCCCTCTACACATCAACTCATAGTCCAACTCAAAGTTCACAAGGGTCACTGTCGCTGAATCTCATAGCTCCTATTTTTCATAATTTTCTGCTGTTTCATCTGTGTAAGCAAAGGTCAGGAAGACTTGGTCCAGCGTTATCTGACTGATGGAATAGTCTTCCATGTCAAATTGCTCTTTAGCTCTCTCCAAAATGCCAAACACCTTTAACAACAACAAAAATGCAGTTACTATTGCAATCTCCCCTTCAGCCTCCAACCCAGATAGGCCTCTTCTCCACTCCCCCCAATCCCTATCGTGTTTATGTTGGAGGACAAAAGGCACAGAACGGGGAGATGGGAAAGTAAAAGAAACAGATAATTGAGAAACTGAGAGGAGGCAGTTCTCTGTTCCCATTCTCTTGATGGACATGTACTGATAATGGGACTTAGGGGCAGAAATTAAAGCAATTAAAGTCTAGGGGTGTCTGAAAAGTAACCTAAAGGAACTGCTTCTGTCACAGTGCCAGGTGTCCATTGGACATGCCCGAATCCCAAATACTCCTCATCATTAGTACTCTCTTAATATGTAATGTTAGAAGGGCATGGCTTCTACCGTCACCTTTCCCCAGCCATTGTCCTTCTTGGGAACGGAGTAGTTAAGGATCCTTTGGTTCTCGTGCGTTAAGACACTACCTAAGAAAGGAAAATGGGACAAGTGAACAATTTTACAGATTTCATTTGAAATTTCCAAAATATTGCCACATCTATTTAATTATACACAATGGAAGGATGAATAGATGGGGTTAATACAAAAGAGGATGTGACCCAATGACCCCACTCTCTTTGGTATGCATAACATGGTTAATGCTTTCATCAGATTTAATCCTCATGAAATAATCTTATTATGTGGGGTTCATAGCAATTATTAAGAGCAGGCTTTTAGGCATAATAAATTGTCAATTCATGTGCCCAGTGTATAAAAAGCCTGAGCCTTCTAAAATTCCACTGTTAGTATAAGACTTTATTTCTAAATATAGTGCTGAGAATATGAACTGGGAGGGATTTCTTCCTGGCTGTGTGTGTGCATGTATAGTGTGTTTGGTGGGAAGAACAGACAAGGACTCCTTGCTATTCTAGTGATTATGTAATCTCTCTGCCATGTGAAACAGGAAATCATATGTATAAATCACCAAAGTCAGGCTATGTGCTCTTGTTTCTTACACAGGTAAAAATCCACTGACAGAATGAGAGGGAAGAGGCTGGTATCCATTCCTAATTTAGAACAAACCGATGTGTTAAAACTTATCAATATATATTTGCAGATTTGGAAATGGAATTCATCTGGATTTAAAATGTCTTCAAGAAAAAAATATATTTTTGTAATGATTTGTGGATTTTCTTAATATTAATCATAATCATGTGTTATCTCCATGATCTCCCTTTTATTGTGAAACGTTTTAAACATAAAGCTTAATGAAGTATTCAAAACAAGCAATGATGAAACTACCCCAACCAGATCAAGTAATAATAACCCATTCATTCTCATGTATAACTTTCTAGCCTCTATACCCCCCTAAAAATAACCAATATCTTAATTGTTGTTGTGGGCATTTCTTTTTCTTTTTTCTTCTTTTTTTTTTGAGGGTGTTTATTTACTCGTTTATTTGAAAGACAAAAATTATGTATATTTATTGTGTAAAACACATTGTTTTGAAATATGTAAGTGTTGTGGAAGAGCTAAAATAGGGTAATTAACATATATTTTACTTCACATACTTAACCAGTTTTCTGTGGTGAGAAATCTTAAAATATACTCTTAAAAGAGTGGTTGTAAAGAAGCCAACATATTGTTATTAACTATAGTCACCATGTTATACTATAGATCTTCTGAATTTATTCCTGTCATCTAACTGAAATTTTGTATCCTTTTACCAACATCTTCCCATTCCACTCCACCCCCAGTGCCTAGTAACCACCATTCTCTTTTCTGCTTCTACATGAGCTGAAGTCTTTTAGATTCCATGTATAAGTGAGATGCTATAGTATTTCTTTTTCTGTGCCTGGCTTATTTCACTTAACATACTGTCCTCCAGGTTCACCCCTGTTCTCACAAATGACAGGATTTACATTTTTTTTTAAGGCTAAATAGTACTACATTATGTATATATATACTGCATTTCTTTATCCATTCATCTGATGGTGGATGAATGGTTGCTCTCATATCTTAGCTATAGGTGAATAATGCTGCCATGAACATGGTAGTGCAGATATCTCTTCAGCATACTGATTTAAATTCCTTTGGGTATATTCCCAGCAGTGGGATTGCTGAATCATCATATGGTAATTCTATTTATAATTTTCTGTGGAAACTTCATACTATTTTTCATAATGGTTGCACCAATTTGCATTCCCACCAACAGTGCATAACTGTTCTTCTTGCCAACACTTACCTTTTGTCTTTTTGATGATAGCTCTTTTAAGAGGTATGAGGTGATTCTCTTTGTGGTTTTGATTTGCATTTCCCTTATAATCAGTGATGGTGAGCATCTTTTCATGTACCTGTTGGCCATTTGTACCCCATAAATATGTACAATCACATATTTATGGGGTACCTGTAATATGTTGATACATGCATATAGAATGTAATGATCAAATCAGGATATTTAGGATATCCATTGCCTCAAACATTTATCATTTCTCTGTGTTGGGAACATTTCAGATCTTCTCTTCTAGCTATTTTGAAATATATAATAAACTATTGTCACTGTACTGTGCCATCAAAGACTAGAACTTATTCCTTCTGTGTATTTGTATGTTTATACCCATTAGCCAACCTTTCTTCGTCCTCGTAACCCTTCCCAGCTTTTGATAACCATTATTCTTCCCTATGCCTCCATGAGATCAATGTTTTTGGTTCCCACATATCAATGGGAACACGTAGATTGCTTTCAGTAGTATGGACATTTTAAAAATAGTAATTCTTTCAATCTGTGAGCACAAGATATGAGATATCTTTCCATTTTTCTGTGTCTTTAATTTATTTTATCGGTGTTTTATAATTTTTCATTGTGAAGATTTTTCATTTCCTTGGTAAAATTTATTCCTAGGTATTTTTTTGATAGCTATTATAAATGAGATTGTTTTCTTGATATCTTTTCTAGGTTTTTCCCTGCTGGCATGTAGAAATATTACTGATTCTTGTACTTTGATTTTGTATCCTGTAACTTTACTGAATTTGCTTATCAGTTCTAAGGGATTTTTGGTAGAGTCTTTAAGTTTCTCTAAATACAGGATCATGTCATCTGTGAATAAAGATAATTTTACTTCTTTTCAATATGGATGCCCTTTATTTTTTTCTCTTGCTAATTGCTCTAGCTAGGACTTCTAGTACCATACTGAATAAAAAGTGGTTAAAGTGAGTATCCTTGTTTCAGAGCTTAGAGGAAAGGCTTTCATTTTCCCCCCATTCAGTATAATTTTGGCTGTGGGTTCATCATATATGACCTTTATAATTTTGAGGTATGTTCTCTCTACATCCAGTTTGTTGACAGTTTTTTTTAAAAATCAGGATGGGTTGAATTTTATCAAATGCTTTCTTTTTCAGTATCAAAATTATCAGATAATTTTTTTTCTTGGTTTTGTTAATGTGATGTATCACATTCATTTATTTATTTATGTATGTCAAACCATCCTTGCATCTTTAGGGTGGATCCCGCTTGATCATGGTGAATGATCTTTTTAATGTGTTGTTGAATTAGGTTTGCTTGTATTTTGTTCAGGATTTTTGTATCTATCTTTATCAGGGATATTGACCTGTAGTTTCCTTTTTTTTTGTTGTGTTCTTGTCTGGATTGGGGATCAGGGTAATGCTGGCTTTGCAGAATGAATTTAGAGTATTTCCTCCTCTTCATCTTTTAGAAATAGTTTGAGTAGAATTGACATTAGTTTTTCTTTAAATGTTTGGTAAAGCAGCAATGAAGCTGTGGGCTTCTCTTTGATGCGTGACTTTTTATTCTTGTCAATCTCATTACTCATTTTTGGTCTGTTCAGGATTTTATTTATTCCTGATTCAATCTTGGTAGATAGCATGTGTTCAGGAATTTATCCATTTCTTCTAGGTTTTTTAAGTTTTTGATGTATAATTCTTCATAATAGTCTCTAATAATCTTTTATATTTCTGTGATTATCAATTGTAATGTCATTTTTTCCCTATTGACTTGTTGGAGCTCCTTATATATTCTAGTTATTAGTTCCTTAATAGATGAGTAGTTTGCAAATATTTTCTTCCATTCTGTGGGATGTATCTTCACTTTGTTGATTATTTCCTTTGCTGTGAAGAAGCTTTGTAGCTTGATGTGATCCCATTTGTCAATTTTTGCTTTGGTTGCCTGTGCTTTGAGAGTATTACTCAAGTCCTTGCCCAGACCAATGTTCTGAAGCATTTCTCCAAGGTTTTCTTTTAGTGGTCTCATAGTTTCAGGTCTTAGATTTAAGTCTTTAATCCATTTTGATTTGATTTTAGTATATGGTAAGAGGTAAGTATCTAGTTTCATTCTTCACCATATAGATATCCAGTTTTCCTAGCACCATTTATTGAAGAGACTGTTCTTTCTCCACTGTATTTTCTTGGTGTATTTTCTTTGATGAAGATAGGCTCACTATAGATGTATGGATTTATTTCTGTTTTCTCTATTCTGTACCATTGGTATATGTATCTGTTTTTATGCCAGTGTCATGCTGTTTTGGTTACTAAAGGTCCGTAGTATAATTTGAAGTCAGGTAATGTGATTCCTCCAGTTTTGTTCTTTTTGCTCAGGATGACTTTGGCCATTCCAAGTCTTTCATAGTTCCATGTAAATTGTAGGATTATTATTTTTTTATTTCTGTGAAGATCATCATTGGTATTTTGATGGAAATTGCACTGAATCTGTAGGTTGCTTTGGGTAGTATGGACATTTTAACAATATTTATTCTTCCAATTTATAACCATGGAATATCTTTCCCTTTTATGTGTCCTCTCAATTTCTTTCATCAATATTTTATAGTTTTCATAATAGACATCTGTTACTTATTTGGTTAAGTTTATTCCTAGGTATTTTATTTGTTCTATTGTCACTGGGATTACCTTCTTGGTTTCTTTTTCAGATTGTTTACTGTTGGCACATAGAAATGCAATTGATTTTTGTATATTGATTTTGCATTCTGCAACTTTACTGAATTTGTTTATCAATTCTAATAATATTTATGTGGAGTCTTTAGGTTTCTCTAGATATAAGAGCATATCATTTGCAAATAAGGATAACGTGACTCGCTCCAATTTGGATGCCCTTTATTTTTTTCTCTTGTCTGACTGCCCTAGCTAGAACTTCTAGTACTATGTTGTATAACAGTGGTGAAAGTTGGCAGCCTTCTCTGGTTCCAGATCTTAGAGGAAAGGCTTTTAGTTTTTCACCATTCAGTATCATACTTACTGATGGTCTGTCATATATGGCATTTACTGTGTTGATATAAGTTCCTTCTATATCCAGGTTTTTTTGGTTGGTTTTGTTTTTTTTTTTTTTTTTTTTTTTTGTTGCCCAGGCTAGAGTGAGTGCCATAGAATCAGCCTAGCTCATAGCAACCTCAAACTCCTGGGCTTAAGCAATCCTCCTGCCTCAGCCTCCCAAGTAGCTGGGACTGGCATGTGCCACCATGCCTGGCTAATTTTTTCTATATATATATATTAGTTGGCCAATTAATTTCTTTCTATTTATAGTAGAGACGGGGTCTCGCTCTTGCTCAGGCTGGTTTCGAACTCCTGATCTCAAGCAATCCGCCCGCCTCGACCTCCCAGAGTGCTAGGATTACAGGTGTGAGCCACTGTGCCCAGCCTCTATATCCAGTTTTTTGAAAGTTTTTAGCATGTAGGAATGTTGAATTTTATCAAATGCTTTTTCCGGTATCAATTGAAATGATCATATGGTTTTTGTCCTTAGTTCTGTTGATGTGATGTACCACATGAATTCATAAGTGTATGTTGAACCATCCTCACATCCCTGAGATGAATAATCTTTTTAGTGTGTTGTTGAATTCGATTTGCTATTAATAGTATTTTTTTAGGAGTTTTGCATCTATGTTCATCAAAGATATTGGCCTATACTTTTCTTTTTTTGTTATGTCCACTCTATGCTGAAAAATATTACTTTAGACATATAATTTATATGACAGCACAAATATAAAACTGTCTAATTAGGTGATGCAAGAGCTTTTGAGAACCTCTGTTTTTTGTGACACTTTTTAGCATAATCTAACACAAGAGGGTTATGGTAACAAACATCACAAAAAGAGTAGCATCAAAAATCAATAAATATCAGTAACTCATAGGAAACTTGTATTGAAGACATAAATCATAGGGATGGTGAGAACAACAAATATAATTTAACACATTTCTAACAAAGTTAGCACAAATTAATTTACCTGGAAATGTCTCTGTGATAAACGTTTTAATATCCTTTAACTTATCCTCAGTTTTGACCTTGACCTTCAGGATATAAACATTGCCAAACTTGTTCTTGAGATGCTGAGGGCTGCCCAAGCACATGAACTTCCCTTTCACCATGATAGCTAGACGGGTACAGAGGGCATCGCATTCCTCCATACTTGCAAGAAAAGGAGAGCAGGTCATCGTAAGACTAAAAAGTTCTCCTTTGGAGAAAATTATGTAGTTTAATCAGAGCTGGGATTTTGTGACCCTATTTTTCAATTGCAAGTTGCACTTGCCAATCATGAAGCTCATAGTTGAGAAGTGGGATTTTTCAAATGATAAATAATAGAGTGCCCAATCCTCCCATAAAACATCTCCTGAACTCCTATTTTTTCCTCATTCTTGATTTTTTAACTAAATGAGGATTCCTGCCCATTTCATTCATTAGGATTAACATGAATTCTAATACCTAACGAGGCACTCACAAACTGAAGAAAGTTCACTGTCCAATATTCCTGGCCCCAAATAATTCCCTCTTATAGCCACTAAAATTCATGCCAACCCTCAACCAAGCCTCTAGATGAGCTACACCTGTGGGAGGTTATAATGACAGCTTTTCCACTTTGATATGCTTGTGTCACTCTGTTCCAGAGCAGGCGTCGGGCTACTGGGTCCATGCCAGTTGATGGCTCATCCAGGAAGATGACTGCGGGCTTTCCCATTAGGGCGATAGCAGTACTGAGCCTACGTTTGTTTCCTCCACTATATGGCCAAAGAAGGAGAGAGAAAGTGAAAGTGGAAGAAGAGGAGGCTATACATATCAGCTATTTACAGGAGAGATTTAGTACAAATATCTCAAATGCTGAGAGTCCCAGCAAACACTAAACATGGAAATCCTGAATGCTGTTTAGATATGACTTTGATGAAGTAACAGCCCAAAGTACAGGGGCATATATCAATTCATTTTAAATTGAGATATAGGGGAGTGATATTTATGTTGCTGATTTGGCAGCATTATCAATAGCATTTATCTACATGTTTTTAGGCTGGCACGGTTTCCCAGGCACATAAACCCCATCATAATTCCAAGGGCCTATATTACTCCTTATTTGAGAGAGAAAGAATCACAGGGACAATAGGAAGAAGAAGATGTTTTCTTCTGAGGTTCAGGGCCACAGTTTAAATAAAACTAAGATTTTGAGTTTCTTTTCTGTAAGGGAAAGATATGGAACTACATTGATTTGGTTCATTAATGGCACCTGAAACCTACCAGAACATTAAATGTTTTACAAATTAGGTAACTGTGGACATAGCACCTTAGGTGGAGATGTGGGCATTTATTTCAAACATCAGGAATATTAAGGAAACATCTCATAATGTAGCATTAACAAGAAAGAGCAGCAGCATAGCGACTCACCTGAAGTTGCTGATAATCTTGTCAGCATGAGGCTCCAGTTCCAGTGAGTTCAAACATTTCTTCACATATGGCCCAATCTGGGGCTCAGAAACTCCCCATATTCTGGCATACATGATCATTATTTCTCGAGCAGTCATGTATTCCAGCAAGGCATCAAATTGAGGACAATAGCCAATTTTTGGCCTCACCTAATTACAAGAATTGCCTTCAGTAAAGATCCAAGTCACCTATCGCAGTCTATATCCATGGATGAGATGGAAGACCTGCAGTCCTCCAAGCCATGCTTCTAAGAGTACTACCAAGATTTTTTTTTTCCTAAAGGGCAACAAAATTATGGTTGTTGAATCTATTGTAGGGCATTGGGATAATAGGTTTCCTAGTTCAGTTTGAATGATCTTGGGGATAAAGAAGTTAAAAATTAAATTTTAGATCCCATCAATTTGGAGGAGTATTAGAATATGAGATACTACCCTTATCAATCAGGAATTCCAAGGGGCATGGTCACCGTGGATGTTTCTGCACTGTTTGACTTGCACAACCATGTGTACATGTTGTTCTACAGTAAGGCTGAACTAGTGGCAAAGCCTTTCCCTTGGCCCTCACCTCCAACCCCAACTGGAGACTGCAAAGTGTATCACTGTAGAAATTAGTCAACCCATTCTGTTGATTTGGATTCAGTTGCACAAAGCCTAGGAGCCAGAGAAATAGATTTGAACTATTAATAGTTTGGTCACTGAACTGAAGCTTACCAATGTGGCCATGACATTGAGTTTGGCATTGATTTCTGTGACTATGACAACAAAGTTACAGGCAACATAAATTGGACACATCAAATTAAAATTTTTGTTCACCAAAGGACACTGGAAAAGGCAATCCACAGAATGGGATAAAACATTTATGGATCATATATAATTAATATGGGATTAATATCCCGAATATATTTAAAAAATCCTCCAACTTGACAACAACAAAAAACAAACAATCCAATTTAAAATTGTGCAAATGGAGAGAACACGTGAAAAAAATGGCGGAGTAGGGGTGCCCTCCTGGCTCTCTGCTCCCAGAGCGAAAAGTGAAGAAAGTGGATAGCCACACTCGAGCGATCTGCACTTCCACGAGACCAGCTTTGCAAGCCTGCAAAGGTCTTATCCCTCCACCAGGAATCGGAGGGATAAGACCATTTGCAGCCTAATGCAAAGGTGAACCGATCATTCTTCCGCAAAACTCGGGGATTCAGAGGCACACATCAGGGAGGGAGCGAGGCGCGGTGTAAGCCGCTGCCGGCTGGCAGTGGCGCCAGCCTTACCCGGTGCTGAGAAACACCCCCTCCTACACCGACCTCCACTTTAACGTTGGGCGGGAGGTGCCTGAAGTTGGTGAGACGTGGCAGCGCGGGACTAAGCCGTGTGGAGAGGAGACTAGAGCAGGGAGCGCGCTGAGTTCCCTAGAGCACACAGCGGGCCGCAGTTTAAGGCGGGGGAGGATCCCCGTGCAGCAACCGCTCTCCGCCCAGCAGGAACCAGAGCCCACTTGGGCATCTCCCTGCAGAACACTCCCAGGTCAAGGTTAAGGGGAGTTTACACAGAAGGAGGCTTTGACTTTGGATATAGAGGAGGTTTGGGATAGCACTAAGAGGTCAGAGTGTGCAAAGTTAGACTCCTCGATCCATTAGGACCCCCTCCCTCTGCCCCTCTGGCACCGCTCCCGCCCCTGCATTCCAGCGCTGACTCAGCATTCTGGCGCTGACTTGGGCTCGGGGTTTGGAGAGGAGGTGCAGAGAAAGCGCTGGTACGCGCCACTGCTCCACCAATTTGATATTGAACCGTCTCTTGCTGCACAAGTGGCACTGACTCTGTGCTCAGAGAGTGGACCCTGCCTGGACGGGGCAGTGCTACAGGGGAGATTGCCTTTGGCAGATTTAAGGCAGAGAAACATTGCCTTCCACACTCTCCTGCCACCCGGAGGCCCGCCCTGGGCTCCAAAGTCTCTGTCCCAGCCTTGGGGGCGGAGCTGAGACAGAAACTGATCTCATTCCTGCCGCTTATCTCCACCTGGGAAATTAAAGAGACAAAAGGCAGGGAAAGGTGGGTCCCATTGACTGCCTGCCTGCCTGCCTGCTTTTGGTCAGTCTCTCCCTGCACAGGTCTCCCGCGCTCCGTGCCCAGAGTGTGGAGCCTGCCTGGGCAGAGCTGGGCCTTGCAGGAGGCAGCTGTCAGTGGTTATAAGGCAGAGATATTTTACGACCCCCACATCCGGGGATTTGGGGCTAGGCCTTTGGCTCCAAAGTTTGTATCCCCGCCTTGGGGGCGGAGCCGAGATAGAAACTGCTCTGGTTCCTGCCGCTGATCTCCACCTGTGGAATTAAAGAGACAGAACACGGGGCCTGGTGGATCTGGTTTCAGGACAATCTCTCACTGCACAGGTCTCCCGCGCTCTGTGTCCAGAGTGCAGAGCCCGCCTGGGCACGGCTGAGCCTCGTGGGAGACTGCCCTTAGTGGCTATAAGGCAGAGAGACTTTACGTCCACCACGCTCTAGTGTCTTGTGGCTGAGCCTTTGGCTCCAAAGTCTCTGTCCCCGCCTTGGGGGCAGAGCTGAGATAGGAATTGTTCCCATTCCTACCGCTTATCTCCACCTGTGCAATTAAAGGGACAGAAGACGGGATTCCATTCAGCATACTATGGGGGTACAGATTTTAAGGTTTCAATAAATGCCCTTTCCCCCCTCCCCCACAAGTCTGATTCTCCAGCATGACCATCCTCAGATGGTGCACATGTCACTCATTATGTATGTATATACCGTCCCCCTCTCCTCCCCCCTCCCAATACCCTGTTACTGTAGTACCTATGTGTCCACTTAGGTGCTACTCAGCTAATACCAGTTTGCGAGTATATGTGGTGCTTGATTTCCTTCTTGGGATACTTCACTTAGTATTATGGGTTCCAGCTCTAACCAGGAAATATAAGATGTGCTATATCACCATTGTTTCTAGAGCTGAATAGTACTCCATGGTATACATATACCACATTTTATTAATCCATTCTTGGATTGAAGGACACTTGGGCTGTTTCCACAGCCTTGCAATTATGAATTGTGCTGCTATAAACATTCGGTGCAGGTGTCTTTTTGTAGTGCATTGGATCTTTGGGTAGATGCCAGCAATGGAATTGCTGGATAAATGGTAGATTCACTTGTATCACTTTAAGGTATTCCATATTGCTTTCACAGAGGTTGGACTAGTTGCAGTCCACCAGCAGTGTAGGAGTGTTCCTCTCTCTCCAACCACGCCAGCATTTTTTATTGAGAAACTTTTTGATAAAGGCCATTCTCACGGAGTTAAGTGATACCTCATTGTGATTTGATTTGCATTTCCCTGATGTTGAGAATGATGAGCATTTTTAATATTGTTTGTTGGCCATTCTTCTGTCTTCTTTAGAAAAGTTTCTGTTCAAGTCCTTTGCCCACTATTTAATAGGGTTATTTGATTTTTTCTTACTGATTTCGTGAGTTCTAAGTATATTCTAGTTATCAGCCCTTTATCGGTTAGTAGGATGCAAATTTTCTCCCATTCTGTAGGTTGTGTTTACTTTCATGATTGTTTCTTTGGCTGTGCAGAAGCTTTTAGTTTCATCATGTCCATTTATTTATTTTGTTGCTGCTGTGATTGCCTTTGGGGACTTCTTCATAAACTCTTTGCCTAGGCCGATGTCTGAGAGAGGTTTCCACACATTTTGCCTCTAGCATTTCTAGATAGGTTCATACCTTAA